AGTCAAACAAGGCGTATGGTACAAAAATGGAGCAACCAGGACAGGATGAAAGGGTTGGCTCAAGGGCTGGGTCCAGCTCTCTGGTTCTGTCACATCCCAGCAGGAGAATTCTGAGCAGCATGTTAGAAAATTTTGGTTTCACACCTGGTCTTCCTGACACTTCCAAAGTGTCATATAGTTACATATTTGTCAGAGCGGGAAGTTAAAGCACTGTCAATATTAGGTGCAAGTTTTAAGTACAGTTTTGTAATACGTGGGTCCCTATGTGACACCTGGCTCCTGGTGATGGTAGGAAGAGACTACAGGAAGGTCCCCTTCTGTCTTTGTTCCACCGTGTTCCACCTGGCTGCAGAAATGGCAAGTTCCTGGCCACTGAGGCTCGGCTATCTTGACTAATCCCCATAGTTCTCCCTGGCATTCTGTGCTTAGTGGTCCCTGAGTCACAGAAGAGCAACAGAAGGTACCGAGAGGAGTCACTGACCAGGCCCTAAGCCTGGAGAGACACGGGCCTGGACTTGCTGGCGTGATGGACTGCATGTTGACCTGGATGCTCTTTTCCGTGGTATCTTGCACTGGTGTGTGCATTTGGCAGGGGAGGGGGAAGTGGGGAGTCCCAGTTGCCCTGGCCCCCCTGAAACAAATGTTCCTCCCATCCACCTGGCCTGTGACCATGGTGTTCCAGAGGGTCATTTGTTTAAACACCATATATGAACACTATATACTTTTCAAAAGAATTAGAAGTACAATAATAGTGCTATCAGTATTTAAGAGACCCATAGGTGACATTTATGACTTTGATGTCTCCATATGTGACCAGGGTTCCGCAGGCGGGTTGGTCCATGACTATGATGGGGTTAAAGTTCCATCAGGCACCACTGCTACAGTCAGTTCAATCAACTGACAATTTCAGAAGGTCACGGGTCACAGAAATCACATTTAATTCAGGAGCCACTGACACTGCCCTTGCGTGGCCTTGCCAGATGGGGAAGACCTCAGCTCCTTTCCTGGAACTTCCCGAGAGTAAGCTTGGACAGCTTCACTGAAGGTGCCAAGTACAGGAGAGCTCACTAGGAGCTCTAACCAATGGTGACTTCCTGCTGGCTGCCCCTGGATGCGGCCAGAGTCCTTGTTCACCCCAGCAATGGGAGAACCACAAATTTGTCAGCCTGTGGAATCCAGGGGCATGACAGCACCCAACCCCAGGCCCCACCCAGCACACCCAGTCTCCATCTCCGCCCCCTCCCCCCCACCCCCACACACACACCTGTCATTCCCTGCGCAGATAGCAGGTCCACTCCCTTGGGAAGATCCCATCTCCTTCCTACTGAGTCCCCCCAAAAGAGCACCATGACCCAACATCATCACACTTGTCAAAATCCAGGGTTTAGGTTAAAAATAAAGCCAGGCCCTCCCTGGTGGCTCAGCGGGTTAGGACACAGCACTGCAAGCTAGCAGCAGCCACTTCAGTGCGAGTTCAATCCCTGGCCCTGGAGGTGATCCACATGGCGCACAGACCTCTCCTGACCTCTCCTGCTCCCTCAGCAGTGTACTTCATTGATCTGCCTGTTCTGCTTCCCGCTCTGTCTCTGGTGAAGCCTCTCACCACCCCCGCACCTGTGGTTTGTCACCCAGTTCTATATGTATAAATAAATAAATCTTAAAAAAAAAAAATAAGGCCACGTATGGCCATCATAGCCCTCTGAGCCCCTCGGCCCCTTTCCCAGAGGCTTTACGTCATCTGGAGAAGAGAGGATGCCGCCTCGCTCTTCTGCCTCAGCACAGCACAGGAGGAGGATAGGAGGGCCAGACACTCAGTTCCTGCCTCCTAATTGGCAATTTTCAACACTTTTCAATCCAGTCCTGGGCAGCAACTACAGATTCCTAACTTGAGATGGGCGATTATGAAGGAAGAAAAGAGGACATCTGAGCAAAAGTAAAATGTGATTAGAGACACACGAGAAAGCGAAGGGCTAGGAAAGTGGAAAGGGAGCAGGCAGGACGTGTGGGCCATCAGCATGCGGAAAGCACCACAACCATGGACCTAGAGCTCCATTCTCACCCCAGGCTCTGGCAAGAGGGTCAGGCCCTACGGCTGCACTCTGACCCACAGTTACCGACCATGTAAACATGGGGGTCCCTACCACTGTTTGTACACTGTACTTGAAAATCAGGCCTCAAAATTCCCTGTCCAAACAACCAGGAACCTGCCATGAAGTCTCCCTTCCCCTGCAGCTGGCTGGCACAGATGTGCACCAAGGGGTGGCCTGGGGGTGTGCTAGTATGTGGGCCCCGGAGGCGCAAACTTGGTTTGTGGATTGGTGAGTTCAAGGAGACCCTCCCAGTGCAGGGTAGAGTTGGAGGTTGGAGAAGAAAGAGGAGGTCAGCTGAAAGTTGGGACTGGAGGTTGGAAGACTTTTCTGGCCCCCAGCCAATCTAGGGGCCAGAAAATCCCCATGGAGTCTGGTAATCTTATACTGCAACACGTAGTTTAGCTCTAGACCCAGTCATATTAGGGGCAGGCCTCAGGCCCATGATGGGATCCTTTCTGCACACGATGACCCTTGGGGTTCTCTTTGGCAATAACACCTTCCTTGGAGCTAGAAACTTCCTTAAGCACAAAAGCCTTCAGAATGAGCCTTGGTCACCTTCACTATCTCCCACCTCATAGTGGGGATAGTAGGCTGGTCAGCAAGGAATATCTACCGACACTTCCAGAACCAATCCAAGTTAGAGTGGCATCTTGCAGCCACAGTGAAAAGTTTTTTTGTTGTTTTTTGGGGTTTTTTTTTTTTTTGGCACCATTGAATATCTTGAATTCAAATTCCTGCCCAAGAACTCCAGTGGAAAAGGTGGCTATTTCAGCAAATTCCAGAACTGTTGGAAGTAGACACTTTTCCTTAAACTGCTTAGGGGCTTAATTCCACAGGGAGTAAGTCACCAGAGCTGAGAAAAGGCTTAAGCTCCATCACGAACACCCCACTCCACTCCCTGAGCTAGACACATCCCCAGGCCACTGATAAAGGGGCACCCTCTTGGGAGTTAGCAATTAAATTGGAACGGCAACAAACAACCTAAATAAGTTAGGGCACCTCCAACTTCAGAGCAGGGGTGCTGGGTCATCACTGGGTGTGGACAGATGTGGGGCCCAGAAGAAGGGAGAAGAGTGGCCCTGCAGTAGGGGACAGCAGAGGCACCAGCAGAGAGCCAAAGAAAAAAAAATGAACATCTCAAATTTTTGGCTCCATGCTGTGTGACACCTCGGTGTGGCTGCGGTAGAATGCAGTTGAAGGGCTTCTCCTGGACCCAAAATGCTCACATGAGGACACTCAAGCAGAAGTTCTTGGATGCACATCCTGAAGGTGGGGTAGAGTCAGGTCCCCTGATAAAAACTTGGAGCTTGGCTTTCATTTTGCTGAAGAATAAGCTGAAGCCCAGAGAAAGTGACTTAATGCAACTCACTGGAAACAACCAGAATAGACATCCAGGTTGCCCTGACCCAGCATGCTGTGGCCATTCCTTTCCACCACATGTGACCAGCCGGAAAGAGGGAATATTGCTACCCGAGGCCCCAAGTCATGCCCAGAACCACATGATGGACTCACTGGTGAGTGAGTCCTGCAGATGCAGTTGCCCAGAGGGATGGGCAGGAGGGGATTCTCAGGGGTTGGGGACACTGGGACAAGCTGGCAACAGAGTTCTGGCTGTGTGGTCACACAGTCCCTGGGGGTGAGGGCAACTGAGCAGAAAGGATTTGGTGCCCAGAACTTAAGGGGCCCCATGTCAGTCAGCAGCCAACAAGGACTTTTTGCTCACCTAATGGAGGGGATACAGGAGCAGGTTTCTCTGAGAAGCCTTTTGGCAAACACAGAAGTGGGAGGGCCTAAGTTCAAAGAGTGGTCAGGGCCAAGAAATTTCGGAACCATTTTGTAAAAGAATATGGAGCCAACTTTTCATATTAGAACCGTTTGCACTTTTCCGGGAGAGCCCTGCTAATTTGCTGGAATTCTTCTTTCGGGACCCCTGCCGGGGCAGAGCAGGAAAGAGCTGTCCCGTGTGATTCACCTTTCCCTCCGGAGTCCTCACTCTCCCAGCGCACCCACACAGGCACAGCTACCTGGAGCAGCGGAGTCACAGGGAAGGAAAAGAACGGCCTGCCCTCCCGGGTGTTCATTTTCAGGTCCTGCCATGTAGTCACTATGAGCAAAGCCCATGAAACAGGGCTCGCACCTGGAGGGGCAGAATGGCCAAGACACAAAATCGTCAGCACCCGGCTACATCGAAAGGCCGGATTAGGGGCACCCCGAAAAACTCTGCTTTCACACCAAAGCCCTTATCCCCGCTAGGCTTGAATCCCGGCGGGGTGGGGACCGTGCGCCCCAGGAGCTCCAGAGCGCCCGGGCTGGCCTCTCAGGTGGTCAGGAGGACCCCCCACCCCACCCTGAGAGGAACCTGGCAGGTCCAGATCCCTCAGCCGCACTGTCGAACGCCGCCGCTGCCGCTAGGACCCCAAGCAGAGGCGTCGCCGATGTCCCTCAGGGTGGGGCAACAACGAGCAAGGGGGTGAAGCCGGAGTCTTTGTCGTTTCCTTCTGACTCCCACTTTTACACGTTCCACCGCCTTCGCTGTCTCCGCCCCAGGTCCCGCTCAGGAG